TCAGTTATTTAAAATTCAATAAGCAAAGTTGGATTCCTCAGAAAATAGAGCTAATCTAATTATTATAAATAAAAAGCTTCAATTTTCTAAAAGCCAGGAGCTGGAGAGCTGCTACAAACGAGCAAACCGAGGCGCTGTGCTCCAGCTGGAGACACGTGCAGCCACCCAACCGCACACCTCCAGCATTTTTACCACATTACCCAGAAACGCTCCGCTCGTGTGACCCAATTTGCAGCCTCTCCTCCCCATTCATCTGCTCACACAGATGCACTACAGGAGGCTGTGTGCAGGCAGCACGGCATCCATCACCTCTGAGCGGTGAGGTCCATCCCTTTGGCCTGGTCTACTAACGGATCTCCAGCTGCAGGAGCAGCTGCACGGCTGTGCATCCATTTGCGGTGGTGTTTTATGAAATATGTAATCAAATATGAGCTTAGCAGCATTTTTCTTCACTGACAGTCAATTTAAATATTGTATCTGCCATATTTTCCTGCTGCTGTACTTCGGCAGTCCCCTGGAGGTAATTGAGATGTAGTTCAGCTCTCAGACGCGGTTCTCGTGGGGGTTTATATCCCAATGAATCTTTTTAGACCTTCCAGCCTTTTCCACCTTTTTAATATCGAAATGATAAAAAGGACAGCAAATATCTGCCACTTACGCAACAAACAAATGAAGCTGTTACATTTATGCTTTAAGGTAGTGAAAGTGTTTTCTGCGCTCGAGCTGTTTAAGTCCAGTCTCTTGAAGAAGTCATGAATCAAAATAATGAAAGGAGATTTGGATTAACTTGCTTGTGGACCTCGGGGCAAAGATGTGTCCTGCGCTCTAGGCCTAGAGATAGGGTCCTCTTTCACAAGCTAGCTTTGTTCCCTAAAGGGAGCTCATCCTGAGATTAAATCAGGGAGGAAACATGGTTAGATTTGGATTCATGGTCTAGATTCATCACAAAAGTGTCCTTCAGCAGGATGCGACTCTTCCTGATAACTCTGAGGCTGTTGTAATGATTTAACTTACATGTTATTTAATGAGCCATAAGGCGTAGGATTCCATAGTAAATATGAAATCAACCTTATGGATCTGTGAGGTTATTTTAAACCAGAAGATTGGAACTTTTTAATGCAGGGATTAGATAACAGAGATAGGCACTAGCCCCCCCGTGACCCTGCGTGGACAAGCGGGTTCAGAAAATGGATGGATGGTATTCACAGAAGAGAGAGAGAGTCAAGTTTAAAGATTTATTACTAAACAGATTAAACTAGACTAACTAACTAAATGTATGGTGTAACTAAGTTGGATGAGACAGTGAATGGGGTGAGGTGTAATGTTGATCAGAACCAGCAAATCCGAAGAAGCGATTGGTTCTGATGGGAAATGAAGGTGATGTCTTCGCGTTAAGCTTTGGTTAGGAGGTTCATAAACACATTCGACGCCATTTGTCGGTCTACGTACCTTAGCGGAAGTCCCCGTCTAGATCAGGAATGTCGAGGTCCAGCTTGACCTTTTCTGGAACCGAGCTGGTAGGAAAAGCAGCGGTTCCGGCCAGACCAGTCTGTGAGATACTTCGGGGTCTCGACAGTTTTGTTGGCATCTAGCGAGACCCAAACCTGGGTCGTGTTGGTTCAGCTTTTATTCTGAAAGGAACCGTTGCAGCAGCTGGATCAGCAACAGATTTTATCCAGCTTGTCGTTGGTTCTTTAGCTGAAGAGGAAAGTTACGGATTGGCCACTCCGACAACTTCTCTAGAACGCTTTGAACTGGCGTTAGAGATGACGTGGGCATAGTTTTATACTTCGGATGTTTTGGTTTATGGTCGAATGAAAAGATGACAGATTTACCAAACACCACCAAAACCACGCCTCCGTCAGATCTGGCAGATTCTGATTGGATCAGTAAAGCAATGTGTCATGTCTTAACGCTACGTGAGATCAGTCCTAGTGGAAACATTTAAAGTCATATTACTTATTATATTCTATAGGATTATAATAAAGTAATTAATATTTTCATTTCACAGATTGGTCACATCTTATTATTGACTAACACTTTGATGGATTAGCTTTATTAAAATAGAGTTCTTTGATTAATTAAAAGGAGAGAGTCCTTTCTTCATTCTTCTGTTGAGCTGAAAGGAAGCAGTTTATAAGCAAATGCACGAGACCTCGAGACCATATCTCATGCAGACTAGTCCTGTGTCAGAGGAGAGGGAAAACAGTCATTTCATTCCGTTACACTATCCACTTCTAACAATCCTCCATTGTCCAAAATGCCTGACTGGCTAACAGGACGCTGTTGCTTTAAATATCCTTATCAAAAGCTTGAGTCAATGCCATGTACAAATGAAGAGTTTACTTCCTGTAAACTCTTCTCCTGCTGCCGTTCTTGCAGCTGTCTTACCTGCTTCCCGAGCTAAAAATGACCCTTTTATCAGGTTTGCTGCTCGTAGTGTTGTAATTTTTTACGGAATCATTCTGAAATAGGAATCTTCTGATCAGATGTCAAAGTGTCAGATTATGGTCCAGATTACCTTTCAGAATGGGATTTGTGAGGTGATACGCAGCTCCTGATCTCTAGTGTTGACTTATTTTCCATGGTTTTACATCAGCTAATGACAACATGCTCTCCAGAAAGCCAACAGCAGAGGTGTGGACTCAAGTCACATGACTTGGACTTGAGCCGGACTTGAGTCATTATTTTAACCCTTTGATGCATAATGGTCACTACAGCGGACAGGTACTCAAAATTGTTATTCATTTATTTTTTGCTATTAAGCACAGCTGCTGAAGACCTTATTGTACTTGAGCCCCTCCATTTGGACTTCAGTAAGCCAAGCCACCATATTTCATGTTCAGAATGCACGCTGTCCACTGAGGTGGACATCTAATAAATTATTTGTAAATGAAATGTTACAAAAAATATTTGTTGAAATTTGTTTCATTCACACCTAAAGATGAATGAAAAAAATAGTTTTAAAAATCCTGGTTGAAGATTTCATAATTCATGCATGAAAGGGATAATGACTTCTGACTTGACTTGATAAAATCTATAAAGACTTACGACTTGACTCGGACTTGAACGCCAATGGCTTGCGGCTTGAATTGACTTGATGATGACTTGAGCATATTTGATATTTTAACACAAAGTGGCACGACATGGGCAAAAATCATGAATCATTCTTGGTTCTGGGTTTGATCTCGTTCTGCTAACTGCAGCAGCACTTTGTTTATAATCAGTTTCAGTTGCACTTTCTGCTTGTTTGAGCAAATAAATTCAGCTTTAAGAAGCTTTATTTCTGGAATTTATTTATTATCATTGTCATTCAATTGGAAGTTGGACAGTTGACTTGATTATGACTTGAAAATTCAAAGTTAAGAACTTGGACTTAACTTGGACTTCCACATCATTGACTTTGAACTCTACTTAGACTTGGTTGTCTTTCACTTGGACTTGACTCAAGACTTGACTGGAAAGACTTGTGACTTTCTTGTGACTTGCAAAGCAGTGACTTGGTCACACCTCTGGCCAACAGTCAGTGAAAATGTCATTACAGTGTTTAAAATCTCTGAGTTAGTTTCACTTTTACTCAGTTTAAGACTAAGTAATCAAGAACTCAAACTGGGAATAACATGAGCTCATCATCTATGCGAGAGTTTTATTCTCCAGGTCACCTCCTACAGCTGCCTTTCTCAGTCACTATCTTCATCTTCAATCTTAAAGTGACAATGTGTAGTTTTACCATTAATCTCTGGAAATATCCATCAAAATGTTGTAGTAAATGAATGAAAAGATGCCCAGTTATTGAAAAATGTTGGCAGTTTCATAAAATATAACTATAAAAAATCTGTTCTAAAATACATGAGAGCGGGTCTAAGGGTGTGTGTCTCAATGTCAAAGCGCCTGGCCTTACAAGGTGATGTCTTGCAGGGCCAGGTGCCTTACTTACGAGGACACTGTCCTTCCTTGGTCAAACAAAACAGTCAAATGGAACAGACTCGCATCACGTGACCGCGGTTTCCACAGCGGTCACGTAACGTCACGTGACACGGAAAATAATGTTATATTTTGTACTCATTAGTTCCAATATAAACATATAACGAGAATGTTACTTTTTAAATTATGTATGTATTTGTTAAATTAAATATACAAGCGGGTTACTACCGGCTAGCCATCAAAGCTACAGCTAATACGAAACTAACCAACCATAGACAACTTCTTTGGATCTATGAAAAAAACATTTTAAATTAGTTGTCTTACTTTTAAATTTAAAATTTGCCCCTGAAGTAGCGAACCTTTTGAAAATACCACGGTGTATTCTGGGTCATTTTTGACCAAGGCTAGGCTACAAGACACCTCTCATGTATCCTTGCTCAGCTAGCTAAACAGCTAACAAACGGAGAACACACGCCTCGGTAGAACATGAACATTGGAACATCTTGGCGGTTCCTGATGACGTACCTCCTAAGCAACCGAGGCGGGGCCAAAACAACAAGGCGAGGTTGCTTGGCATTGAGAAACACCCCTAAGTCTCCGGGCGACACCATATTGGATGCCATGTTTTCTTCTACAGAGGCCCGTGAGGACAAAACACATTTAATAATTTGTAACAAATGGTTTCAAAACTTTCACCAATAATTAACATTTAGTTTTACACATTTACCTTTTCACTCATTGCCAGTGATGAAAGGGAGTCAGACGTGTGTGTCATTTTGCTGGAAGTTGCACTCCCAGGGATTTTTGACCCTAATGGCCATACGTTGGTAAGATCTTACTTGAACACAAAAATACTGCTTGCTTGCAATGATTTAGGGATGTACTGCCCCCTATCAGAAGGGAAAATACGCACTGTCACTTTAAACACTGTTTGACACATTCATGTAAAAAAATGAAGTCAGCTTGTCTGAAATCACCAGCTGGTGTTTATGGGTCCTGGCCGTGTTCACATCATAGATGTTATTGTTTAAATGAGCTTTTATGAAACAGAACGATGATATGAGGACTTCTGTTAGCAGATGAACTGTCTCCCTACACTGTGATCCTCTACAGACGACCTGATTAGAATAAG